GGTATGGTATGGTAGGGTATGGTATGGTATGGTATGGTATGGTATGGTAAATATAACAGCTACATTCAAATCTAATTTCTCAGAAGCTCCGTCTTATTTTAGTACCAGGCAAACCGATGGCAGTAACGGTATCTAAGATATTTGCATACTTAGCCAAACTAATAACTCACACATACAAACAATAAAAAAGCAATATCATACAAGCAGCTGTAAAACTTTGTATACCGCAATATGTTTTTTGAGATTAGATGCTGAAGTCTTGTAGGTTGCTGTCACCGTAGAGATCAAACATCTGGACTCTGTCTCCTTTTCGTCCTCTGTACATGAAACATTCCTCCAGGTACGACCACGGGCACTCGTCCTCAGCCTTTACCTCGTCGTTTTCTCTGTGGACAGTTTGTCCTCTGTCTCCATTTTGGCTTTTTCTCCAAATCTTCGGTGGATAAATTACTTTTTACGGAGTTGTTCTTTGGTTACGTCATAGGTAATCTGAGAACCTTACTGGCTACAAAGATGCAGATGAACGGTTCAAATATTAATTCAATTTGTGGCCGTACTCAGTAGCGACTTCTGATTTTAAAAGTAGTGAAGTACATTACATGGTCTAAGTTGTACTTAAGTATGAGTAAAACTACACACGAAAGAAATATTCATAAAAGTAAAAGGACAACACTGTTGTGATTTGGCGCTATAGAAATAAACTGAATTGAATTGGACTTCCTGTGGACTGATCTCCCTCTGGCGTCAGAAACCCCCCCTCATCCAGACCGACCATCCTGGCAGCAAAGCTCCACGTTCCACAACTTGTTCACAAATCAGCCCGTGCTCCTAAACCAATGAACAGCTTGTAAACTGTGCCCTTGAGCCTCCGCTGCCGCTCTGCCAAGCCCGCCGGCAGCCCGGAGCTGCCAGCTGACACCAAGGAAGCAGAGATGACAGACAGGACGGGGAGAGGGTGGGGACGTCTGTGCTACGCAGGGAATCTGGGTTCAGGTGGAGGGAACGATGGTAACAGGTGGAGCAGGGATGTCCTCGTGAATACATTAGGACAGCCACAAACCCTGGCACCACCCTACACCCCCACCCCTTCCTCGGTGACTCATCTGGTTTCCCCACCTCAAAGCATCCAAAGAGATATGTTTACTGAAATAATAAATAATAGCAAAAACACACAAACAAACAAACAAACAAACAAACAAGCGCTTTGTGTTGTTGGAATAAAGGAATTATGAACAAATAATATATTAAGAAACTCTACATTCCTCACGTACAACAACTAGAAGCCGACAATAATTATAGAATAAGTATTCACTCAACAAAATGTTAGTAATATAAACTAAGACAATCAAGTTTAATGTTTTGTGTAGAATGATTTAATTAGATGAAATCCATAAAACGAATTATGCATGTAGCAATATTTTCAGGTTTTTATATAGATTTATTTGTATTTTTTAATAAATATTTTCACCTCAAATAAAATGTTTCTTACGATTTTTCAATTGTTCATATATTTCTAAACTGTCAAAATACCATCTGTAATACCTGGCACGTACATGGTAGTATCTGATGAAACCTACGAGGTATTACAAACCAGTTAGGTACATAGTGTCTTGTGCTTACAGAGTATGTACTCGGTACATTCAATACCAAGTATCAGTACCAAGTATATACAGAGCTGTACGTACAGTTACCCAGGT